CAAGGAGGGCCCACCTATTAATTTTGTTTTGTTTTTATTTATTTTTTCCCGATCCCTTATTGGGTTCCTTTATATCGCTCCTATAAGTGAAACCATTCGACAAGAAAAAATATCTTTTAGTTCAGAGGCAGTTGTAATAAGAATGACAAGGTAGTAATACTAACATGAGTGCAGCTTATTAGCTATTTGCCACATACCAGTAACTACACTCAGTCCTTAAAACAACCCTTCAAGGTGATTACAGTTACTCCCTCCATCTAACAGGGAGAAAATGAAACCCTGCAAGTTTAAGTGATTTGTCTGAGGCCCTTTGACTAGTGGGAGTTCCCAGATAAAGTCTTTGTCTCCAAAACTTGTGCTCTCAACCACCATGTACACTCTGCCATATTTGCAGGAGTTGCCCTTAAATAGTCAGGCTCCTCCACAAAATTAAGTTACATGCATTTCCCAGCACAGTCACAACACATTGGATTCAAGGAGTTTTTTAATGGTCTCCTCAGGGACTCCTACACAGAGACCCAAAACCCGAAGGACTATAACATTTATTTCCCCTCATCTCGTTATGAAATGAGATTTTATAAGCAAATCAGATTTCTGGCTGGCTAAAGATTAAGTTTTTTTCTAATGATAAAATCTTTCTAAAATGTATTCCATTCATAGTCACCTTAGAATATCACAAGTCTCATTTCATACTATCCTAATGACACAGAATTGTTGTTATGAGCAAGTACTGTTCTACTCTTATTTCGGGGACTTTGTGTGTGCTATCTGGGGAACATCCTGACCCCCATCTAGGAGATACATCTTTCATCCTCACTGTCACACTTCTATCTCCATCTGTGACCCTGTGTCAAGTACCTGTTTATTTCTTTGCATCATCGTCTCTCTTCTCTTCCCTCAAAACCGTTGGGTCTGTAGTTTGACACCATGGTTTCCATTTCATCCTGTATCCCTTGGACCTAACTCCATGTCCAAAGCACAGGAGGCATAACACATTGCAATAAGTGTTTTATTTTAGACCAGCTTTAGGTATAAGTATAGAGAAAAGCTACAAGAATAATAGAGTATTCCCTTCTGCAGAAATCAAGTTCTTTGTTCACATCTGACATGAATATAATGCATTTGTCCCAACTAATTGGCTTATATTGATACCTAATTATTAACTATTCTAGCTTTCTTTCCTTTTTAGCCTAATGTCCTTTTTCTCTCCGAGGCTCTCATCGAGGATGTTACACGATATTTAGTAGACATGTCTCTTTAGGCTCCTCTTGGTGGTGACATCAGACATTCCTTGTTTTTGACCACGAAGGAGTGGAAGGCCACTGGTTATGTGTCTTGTAGAATATTCCTTGATAGGAGTTTTTCTGCTACAAACTCAGTGGGGTTGTAAGTTTGGAGGAAGAAGGCCACAGAGTTAAAGTGCCCTTCTCATCACAGCATGCCAAGAGTATGTCACAGCAATGTAACATCACAGTTCTTAACCTTGCTCATCTGCTGAAGTGGTCTTTGTCAGGTCTGTCTACTGTAAAGTTAACTTGTTCTTTCAATGCTACACTAGCTCAGGTGTGCTTCTTACACACCAGGGATTAAGAGGCTCCATTCCTCAAGGACAAAGTATTTGCATCTATGATTTGGAATTCTTTTGTAGGGGAGACTTACGTATTTCACCCTCAACTTACTTATTCAGTGAGTTGTTTAAATCAGTGTGTACTCATGGACATTTATTTTACACATTGATATAATTCAATTTTATTTTATTTTATTTTGTTACTCAAATATTCCAGCAGCCATCATTGGCTTTTTCAGTTTGACTCTTGTATTTCTCTGACGTATTTTTATCATTTTCTCATCAATTGTTTGTTATTTTCACAGGGCCTTGATTATTTGTCAAGTATTCCTTCACGTTCTGGAGTAAGACACTTCAGGCTCACCTGAAATATTTTCTGTACCATACTAAGAATCTGTCGCTTCACCACAGACCCCTGGTTCCTTTTACTGTAGGAAGTAATAGAAACTACCATCTGAGCTCTGGGTGGGCACAACACTTCTTAATTAAAGTTAGAATTTGTTTGAATTAATTAAAATTTGAAGCCACACATATATAAAAAATATATATTCCCACCAACCCAAGTGAACAAATATCTTCCCCTTTATTTTTTTTTTTCAGATATATTTCTACACTTATAAAGTCAAATGTCATTGCTCCTCCTCTCTAATCTTAAATTCCTTTTGTCCTTCTAGAAGTAGCCACCATCTTGATGGCACATGGGTGATTTGGTGATGGGAAGCCCAAGGGGATTGAAAATGAGATGGGAAAATGCACAAAATTATGTAAAAATAAACTATTATATATAAAAAGTAATAAAATTAAAAAAATAAGAGTACATAAAAAAAGAATCTTGAATTTAAAATGGCAGATCAAACAATGAAAATGATGGGTTAGGAAAGGTTCTTTTCGCAAGGAGACATAAAACTGAGAATAAAGAGGAAAAAGTAAATTTTGTTGCAAAATTTTACCATTGCAATGTAACCAGATGAGAATCAAAACATGATTGCTTAAAATATACAGGGTCTAAAAAACTTTCATTCCCTTTTAAAATAAATTTCTTTAACTCTAAAAAGTAGCCACCATCTTAAATTGACATACAGACTTTTTCCCCAAACATGCATGGAGTAGTTACAGAAACAAATGGGTATTAAAGAAAAGACTGGTTCTTGCTTGGGCCAATATCCCCACAAACTGGCTGTCCTGGTTGATAGTTATATGTCTGGTCGGCTCCCTGTAACACTGCAGCAGCTGGCATTTGCATTGTCCCTTCTCCCAGAAGTTCATTCTCTCTGCCATTACCTCCAACCACTCTTCTCTAGGCTGTTTCTCCCCATCTCATCCCAATATGCTGCTTAGCAGGCATCCTCTGGTGTCTTCTTGTTGGAGAAAGACCAGTAACCTCATAAGTAAACTTTGCCACAGCAAATTGTAAACTAAGGAGTGCTGGAAAAATATGTTCTTACTGTTCCATTTTCAGTGCCAGAAAAAAAAGGGGGCTGGGAGTAGCATTCATCTGTTTGAAGAACTTGGCTCACTGACAGCTATTTTTTAGCTTCAGGACATTATCAGTTGCTTCTAGCTACTTTTGGAAGATAGAAGCCACCACATTTAAGGCCATCAGAAATCTATAAATTTCAATAGTTGATTTTATGTGTCTTCATTTTTACTTTTCTGATAATGGCTACTGTTCCATAATAAGAATGATATCCAAAATAGAGGAAAAGCTTACTATTAGACTGCTCAGGAAACTAATAATTTCTCCAGCAAGTGACTTAAAATGGAAGACTAATTGTATAATTACAGTGTGGAAGCCTTTAGCTATAATCACCATCCATTGAGTTGTGTTGCTATGTGGGCAGTTTGGTTGATAATGTTCTGAGTACCTAGCATGTTGTCTGCTTACTAAGGGAAGCAGAAATTTGGGGTTTGGGATTTCCAGCCTCTTAGTAGTAAATGTATTTCATTTCTTCCACAGCTTACACCTACTTTGACAAAGGGAAATTTGGAAGCAGTTCTTGAGAACACTTTGATAACACCGGGATAATTAAAACAGGCACAATGAAGCACTTCCTGAGGTAAGTGTTTTTGGCTCCCTGGATGAGCTCCTGGAATGGAGAAACTTCCTTGCCAATTAGGATAATATTTCTGTTCGTCATTTACGATTCTGTAACCAGGTCTCTTAGGATTGCATAACATAGCAATTGTACATTGGCTAAGAGTAATTTGGTCTCAAGGTTCTCCTGCTAATGCTCTATGCATTTTCATGCGACAGGAAAATACTTAGAAATAGTAGGTTACAAGAGAGCACAGGCAAACTAGCCTGGGGCAGGAGTGCACTGAACAACCTTTATACCATTGGACTCTAAACAGTAGTATCTTACTGGCCTTGAGGTTGAGGTTTGAGCAATTAGTAATCTAGGAGTCAATGCAATTTATATAGAATCATTTAATTTAAGGTTTTTTTGGTTTTTGGTTTTTTGTCAAGTCGCCAAACCATAGAGGTTTTTGGTAAAAGTTTATATTCTAAGCTTCTGCTTTTCCTACCTCACTGATATCTCTGAAATCTGCCTTTATTTTTGTTTCCCTGAAGATGTTGCTATACAGAGTTGGTGTGTTAGAGGGTGGTCTCATTTTGCTTTCAAAACCATTTGGCTGGGCCTAGCGTTATATTTATTTTCAAGAGTATTGACTGTCATTCACATTTTACTAATGAAATTCTCAGAGCAATTTCTCGTGATAGTAAAACATGACAAAATAAAGGTAGTCTGGTCTTGAAAGTTAGAAAATAAAACACATTTTCCAGAAGACACACTTTCCAGAGTTTCATTCCCTCAAGATGGTGGCCCCTCTTAACATAGGCTGGCACCTTGCTGTCTTGTTTTCTATAAGCAAATCATTTCTGGGCTTAACTTCTTTTCAGCAATTATCTCATTCTTTTGGTGGCCACCTTGCAGGATGTTCTTCCCCCACCTGGTTGTGGCTATACTGTTGTTTCTGGAGCCCCTCGATCATTGTATATGGGTTTGCTGTGTTCTGATGTGTCTGCTGGTTTTGACTGAATCCTACCATTGTGAAAGCTCTGAGGAGGTCGCTGTTAACCCTTACAGCCACAAGCATTTGTTTAATTGCAAAGAATACTCCATAGCCTGTTCACTTAGCAATATAAAAGGATAGTATTTGGGGGCCCTCCCTAGTGGCATAGCAGGTTAAAGCACAGCACTAAGAAGCTAAAGCCACTTCCACATGAGTTCGATCCCCTCCTGCCCCAGAGGTGACCACATGGCACGGCAGACCTCTCCAGACCCGTCCGCTGCTCCCCTCAGCAGTGTACTTTGTCAGTCGGCCTGTTCTGTTCTGCACTCTGTCTCTGGTGAAGGCTTTCACCACCCCCGCACCTCTGACCTGTACCCCAGTGCTGTATGCATAAATAAATAAATCTTTAAAAAAAAGGATAGTATTTGAAAAATCACTAGAATGTTTGCCAGCCAAGTATTGAACCTGATATAATTTTGGTTGCTATGATAATTAACCCATCTTTTTACACATTCATGAAAAACTGGTATTTGTGAATCCCTTCTGAATGTAAGTGTGTCATCTTTTAGCTGTAGAATCATGTTAACAAAAAACTTTATTGTTCCCTGAAGCTTAGAAATTGGGAGTCTTTTTGAAAAAGAGGGGTTGGGGCCTACTGTTGAATTTCTCCCTTAGTATCTTGCGTCTTTGAATAATTTGAGTGGCATCAAATCAGTCATTTCAGGATAAATTATAGCATTTAGTTTCTGAATAGTCTGTTAAATTGAATAGGTTCAGCACCATGTATGGTTATAAATTTTAAAATTCATTTATATTTGATGATTGAAAACTGGCCCAGTGAAAACTATTTCTGTCATTTTACACAGACTAGCAACATGGAAAATGGAACCAGCATTTTCTTTAGTGTTCTACTACATGTTTTCCTTTTTTCACTTGGACGTATATACTTTATAAATACTACTTGACATTGATTATTTATGTGAAACTGAAGCTAGGCTAGTAGGTTACACATCAAGAAAGAAACCTGAGGATTTTCATTGCTCATTGATTTGAAATAATCGGAGGAAATTCTATCATCACTCCTCCTTAATTGATGATTTTTTTAAATTAAGTTACATTGTACATGTATTCATAGGCTAATGGTTATGGAATTTGGGAAGAGATTAGGGCAAGAAGTAATAATTTTGCATCACAGACTCTATCAGATAATTTAGATTGCCTTTAATTCCCTATAATTCTTGCCCACAGATGTTAGACAGTTTTGGCAATTTGAACCAAAGGATAGGCTATGCAAACATAACCCCAATAAATCAGGTGTTAATTCCCCAAATGCCTTATGCAAGATACAGAGTTGAGTTTCTCTGAGAAAAGTCAGCATTATTTAAAAGCCCAAGAGTGATTCATCTGTGAACTTCTGAGTTGCCATAGAATGAAGGGGTCCAGATACAGCCCCAGAAGGAATGAGATTCATTCTAAAGAAATCAGATCGAGGGAAAGATTGGGTTATAATGGTGTAACTACTCAGAGTATAGAGGAATGGAGAAATGTTTGGTGTTCGTTAAAAAAAGGAAATGACATGAGATATTAAATTAAATACATGTGTTACAGGATTAGTATACCCAGTTGACAGGTCTGTTTTAAATTGAGAGTAGGTATGGAATGTTGAATAAGTACCTACAATCACCCAAATAACACAACTTTAGCCATGGTCTATATTAAAAGAAAAACAGGGATAAATCAATGAGAAAAATGTGTTTTTGTGTGATCTTAGAAATGAGGCTTATTTCTTGACCTCACTATAGCACTGAGTCTTGGAGTTTAGTTTGCATAATGCATTCCATTAATTTCATTTGAAATGATAGCTATAATAGAGCTTTATACATTGCAAATATACAATATCACATTTATATTAATATGGCATAGGGCATTATTTATTTAGAACCTTTAATAAAAAGAATCTTTTAAGTCACCATATAGCTAACTGCTTTCAATCCAACATTTTCACCTGACAGAAGGGGGAGTCAGACAAAAAAAACCTTTTTTTCCCTTGCAACATATGTCTAGCCTTCTCTTAGAGTCAGAAATCTCAACCATTTTCCTCACCTTACACATGAAAGGGCAGAGACTCAGCAAAGTAAAGCAACTTGTCCAAAGTCACACAGCTCATAGTGGAGACTAGATTTGAAGTCAAACTTCTAGAAACTTTCTATTTAACTGGGAAGTATTTCCATTTATTACCAACCAATTTCCACTTCTTTTGAAAGACAGAAGGTTCTGGGTCATATAGTTACAGAATTGGATTAGCCTTTTTTGAGACACTATCTGAGCTTTTGAAATTTAGAAGCTCATACTGCAAAGGAGAAGGGTTATCCATGTGCTTCCAAATGTCTCTGTGACCTGTAGCCTGGTACTTAGTGCCATGGTTCTTTTTCCCCATTTAGAAAACATACATGCACACATGAATCTTGTAAAATATATGTATACACACATGCACATGCCCACCTACACATACATTTCAAATTAATTTTTTCCCATGCATTACAACAAAAACTATACACTCTTGATGAAATAATGTTAAGCTGAGCAATAGTCTAGGCAGTTCTGTGTAGGTGACCTCACTAGTGCTCCATCACTGCTGCCCAACTCTCCTGCCCCTTGGCTTTCACCCTGCTTGCCTAGCCAGCTCTCCGACCTTTCCCTGCTCATGAAGCCACTGCTGCAGTGCAGGGACAGAAATGAAAGTGCCATGAACATGCAATATGTGTTGGTTTGCGTTTCATTCATTTGACTTCTGTTTTACACCGTTGTTCTACTCTGACTCTCAACTCTGCCATGAGAATCTAGTCCTTTGCAGCCTTCCAGATAGGAGCTCTCTGTAGCCAGGTCCCCTCACTTCATAAAACACCTCTTGACAAGCTATGTTCGAATTGATTGACAGTACACCTGAGTAGGAACACCAATGGAGCAACTAAAACTTTCAAAATGTCTGTTTAGAAGGTGCGTGAGCAGCTGGAGACATCGACTAGCGTTCTCTTCTTTATGTCCTTTTAAATGAAAAGTGTTTTGTTTAGGAAACTTGTTTGAGCCAGGAACTAGAATTATTTTGTATATATCTTCCCTCACCAATAGTTTACCTCTTATTTATTACAGGATTTCTTCAAGCAAGAATTAACTTTCATTAGCACATTCATTGAAAGTGTTCAAAATAAACCACTTTTCCTTTATTGTTCCAAAAGAAGACGCCAGAATCACAGATTTAAGATGGAGTAGTGTGGCACTGCAGGTACCTGCATTCCCTCCCCTTGACGAAAGGGGGCGACATAGTTCTAGGTGCCTGTCCCATTTCAGCAACTGGATAATCGCTGGATGGGTCACTCTAACAAAACATCATGAGACAGCTCGCTTTTATTTGGTATCAAAGATATGATCCATTTTGAGTAATTGAGTAATTTGCAGTGGGCGGCTATTCTGGTCCAAGCTAGAGAATGAAACTTAAATAATGAAAGTGATCATAATTGCCGGCAGAGGGACACTGCTGCTTATCAGTCTCAGACTTCATTTTGCCATATATTTACAATGAGCAGTAACAGAAAATACTGGAAATAGAGCCTGTATCTGTAACTCTTACCATTGAATCAGATGTCTCAGTGCTTAAGTGGGGCATTCATGTTAGGAAGCTATAGTAACTCCTTTGGAAGCACTATCAAAATGTGTGATTTTAAAAAATAAAAAGAAAGAAAGAAAATAAATTGCCAGCAAGCCCACTGCTTATACATATAATTGTTAAAAATAAGAGATGGGATGATATTCTTGCTTTCTGGTCTGGAGAACTTAATTGTAGGTTCTACCAAATGTGGTCAATCCTTTCAATATTATGCTGAGAATCTTCCCTCAAAACTAAGAAAAGTCTGGTGATATGAAGAAAAAGAACAAAATAGTTCTGTAATTAAAACAAAGATTATTGGTTTGATAATTCGGGCCAGGAGGGGGAAAAAACAAGCAGAAAAATAAAATCCTTGTGTATAGAGTTCAGAAGAATGGGAGAGAATGGCTGTAATTCTTATTCTAGGAGCAGGAACAGAGAAAGCTATTAGAATCTGTCTCACAGGAATGACTGAGATGTTTCCACTCAAGCTTTACAGTCATAAATGTGGGAGCTCAAACAAAAGAAATTAAAAGGAAACGATGCTATGAATCTGAAAGTCCTTCAGCTCATGTAAGAAACAGGCAGACATTTCCTCCCTCCCTCCTTTATTTTCTTCTTCCCCAAACCAACCACTGATTAACTTATAAGCATTGAAAGATTCATTTCTTCTTTTATGAAGCCTTTTTCACTGAGGTATAGTTGACATATAACATTATATTAGCTCCTGGTATACACCAGAATGATTCAATATTTATGCATATTGTGAGATGATACCCACAATAAGTCTAGTTAACATCTACCACATCTATACCTAGACATCTCTCATGTGTTGAGAACCTTTAAGATTGACTCAGCAGCTTTCAAATCTGCAATGCAATATTCACTACAGTCTCCATGTGACACAAACATCCATTCCTAATTTCTTCCTCTGCAGGGTAAATATGCCAAACCAATTGAACATGCTCCAGAAATACTTAATCTTATTTAATGTTCTTCTCTGCACCTTCAGTAGCTTCTCATAAACTTTACAATTTGGGGGATTAAATAGAGCCAAAGATTTAAGAAATGAACTCCTGGCAACGTTTGAAGGTAAAGAACAGGAACCCTGAGATGCTTATTGGAGATTTTGCTCATCTGATCCTTTCAAGAGGAAGCAAGTTGGGTACATTTTCTGCCATCAAAGTAAGACTTCCAAAGGAAAGGGTACCACTGACATTGCCATCTCAGACCATGCCTTCCCAAAACTAGACTTGTGCCTCAAACACAAAGTAAATTATATCTGTCAAAACATTGTCTGACCTTATTACCTGACTTGAAAAAATAGCACAGAGAACTGGACTTTCAATGAAACATTTATGGGTATGTTTTTCCTTTAGGAAAACAAGGGGGAAATTAAATTGTAATCATAAATAAACTGGTCTGGAACTTACAAATGGGCGAGGAAGCAGTATGTCACTGTCACTTTCCATTGCTAGGGGCATTCCTCTTTTGTTACTAATGAAGTGATCATGTGATGATGAGGGAGGGACGTGGTCCACAGTGTGACAAGCTCTTAATCTATAACTCCTGTCTGCGGATTCCAACTGGGTTTTCCAGTCCTTTGCGTGTGGACTTCCTCAGGGGAGATGAAAAAACAAAGCAAATCAAACTTGATGCTATTTCTGTCCTTTTGTATAAACCATCTAGATGCAAAGCAGCCTCCTGGGCATTTTCTTTTCATATGCAAGGAAGCCAGTGAGCAACTACTTCAAGTGTCTCTGAACACTTTCTGCCACCTAGGCTGACTCTAGATCTCAAGTTATTCATTGAGTAAGCCAGATGGAAAAGTTGCACAGGGACAATTTGGCGGAATTTAAGCTATAATGTGACTAAGTAAAGTGAATACAAAGACAAGAACAAGAAATAGAACCCCTTCTTCTAGGGAGACTTAGAAGCACAAGAACCTGATTGCTATGGAGCCCACAGACATACCCTGGAAGGTTTCATTTGAGGAGCTGTCTCACATGCTGGGAAGGCTTCGCTGATAATAGCACATGGTACCGCCAGGACAGATGGGAGTCTTTTATCCTTGACTTAGTTATAGGGATAATGCCAACCAGCAATTAATATCATTACCATCTGACAGGTGACCGCTTAACAAAGATATTGCTCAGTCTTTTTTCTGGAATAGCTATCCAGTAGGTAGAAAATTGTCCGAAAGATAAGTTCCGGTCTTACCAAATTTCTCATTCATCTAATTAAAGTGTTTCACTAAGGGTTACTATTTTTGCGGGGAGTGTGGGAAGCTAATAACCTAAATCCTGATAGATCTTAGAACATATTTGACTAAAACAGATTTCAGGCTACAATATAGTAAATTCTTTTTTTTTTTTTTACAGAAAATAACTAACTTCTCATAGAAATTTTGTATGCTCTGTTACTGTTGGTAATCACTTTACATATTTTTTTTTTTAGGTTTTGCATGTTTTTTTTTATTATTACAAAGTTTATTTTTACATCATTTTGCACATTTTTTTTTCCATCTCGATTGTAATCCCCGTGCCACCACCTGTGCCACCACCATAGTCCCATGCATTTCCCTCCCTTCCCCCCCCCCCCCCCCCCCCCCCCCCCCGTTTTTGATCCTATTCCCCACTCCACCCCCACAGAATGTCTCTGGTATATGGTTGTTCATTATTTTTGTTATTTTCTCGCCTGGTCCATTATACTCCTGCTATGAGTCACTTTACATATTTTTAAGTGTTACAACTTTCATTTTCTTAAATGAATACACTTATAGAAAAAAATGAAAATGTGTTTCAACAACAACAAAACACTGACAGTACCATTACTCAGAAATTCTATTGTTAACATTTTTATTGTGTGTTTTACCATATTTTCTACCTTGTTATATTCTGTCATTAAAATGATATGTTTTATTGTTTAACATAAACATAGATCATCCCACATATTTCCTTTCTAGCATTTTCTATTTGATAAACATTTCATGGACATTTTCTTACATTATTAGTTATTCCAGAACATAATTTTAGTGCCGACAAAAGAATCCATTATATTATCTTAGTGTTACTTCACAATGTTATTTACTGTTTCCTCCAATCCCATTGGACTTTTATGATGTAGAGCCTAGACCATCATATATTAAAAAAAAAAAAAAAGCTGGAAGAATTTTTATTAACATAAAGGCTTCAAGATATCAGAACTAGTGCTAACTGAGCAGAGAAACAAAGCAAGACTTGATTCATTTTTATAGCTGGATCTCATCATTGAGTCTATTAATTATTCTAATGCATCACCTGGATAACCTGAATCATCTTAGGGTAGAGCTGGAGGGATTTGGTGAACCTTTGAGAAATGAGAAACATCTTCTAGAAGTTACATTGATAGGAACTAAATAATTCTGCTTCCTTGGAAAGCATAATATAAAGAGAAAAGGGTTTGAGTATAGGATTGCGGATAATAGTTCCCCTTTAATGCTATAACAGAGTTGTTTTGAGACTGACCGGTACCATGAAGTAGTTCATACTACAAGTATGACAAATTCACAAACCAGAGATACTATGAATTTTATATGACTCGTGAGGATAAACTTTATAGTTTGTTGAGCTATGAGTGGTATAGGTAGGGTGTGCAAGAAAGAACTTTTTCTTTAGTCAGAGCTAAGAACACACTTGTCAGGAGGTAGAGTTTTAAACAATTTAGATGAGAAAACATTGCAACCTCTGAGGGGAACCAAAGATCTCTATGTTTGTTCAAGGGGCTGAAACCAAGGACTATTGAGTTTGGTCAGCAGAAAAACACTGGCACCACACAGCCAGGCCCTTCAGGAGGCCAGAGGTTGCTAGAGGAAGGCAGAGGAGAGGAGGAAAGAACTACCACAATGGAAGTCAAATAGTGACCTCAAAATGCACTGAGGAGGAGCCGGGAACAGACCAGGGTGAGCCAAGAAGCCATCCATGCAGGCAGAAGTAGAGTTGCCATAATGTGGTTTTTCATTATATCTGAGGAGAACCGGCTTCTAAAACACAGACTCTTCTCAAGGTGTGGATTTATTTTCCAAAGTGGTTTAAGATAGAGATGGGAAAAGAAAAGGCTGTAGTGCGTCACCCTTTACATTCCAAAATATGATCTCCTGAGTGGCTTGCAGTCAGAACCACTGTGACTCTCAGACCCCCAGCTTCCCTTGCGAGGATGGGTTTTGTAGCTCTGCAAAATAAATAAACCTGGGATCAGGAAAAGGAAAGATGTGTAAAAACCACGTCTAACCGTTGCTTTTCTCCTGGGTTCCCTTCCTGCTGGTGGTGGCTGCTTTGTGCTCTTTTCCAGAGTTCTGTTGGAAGGTGCTGTCTTTTGTTTTTGACAGAATGTTGATCCAGGTGTGCCTGTATTTTTACTGTAAATTTTTGTGGCGCTGCCTGAAATTTGTAATGAGGAAGCTGACTGGAAGGTGTGAGCTTCAGCGGATCTGTTACAACACCAAGCCTGGCGCTTCCAGGACCATGAAAATCGGTAAGTGTGAAATAAAGCACCAGGAAACACGTCTGCTGGGTGGAATTGAGGCTTTAGTGTTGGACTTCAGTAATTTCAAGCCACTATTGGAGTAAAATTTCTGCATGACTGTTTTTGTTTTACAGAAACCTCCCTGAGGGATTCAAAAAGTAAGGTAAGAAAATTGTGTACATATCAGCAGTTCTTCTCTTGGAGGTTTACCTCCGTCATCAAAAAGCAAAAAAAAAAAAAAATAAAATAAGAAAACATGT